GTTAGTATAGATTATGTCTATACAAATGAAAAATTATATCCATTAATATAAGCTAAGTTTATACAAACAAAAAACTTATTATTTGTCTATATAGAGAGTATCTATACCAATTGTAATTATCATCTGTTTATATAAATATACTTATACATACGAATTACTATGTTCTGTCTGTATAATTCACTATTTGTTAAACCCAATTTTTTCCACTTTAATTTCAGACGGGTGTCCTTATTTTCACTTCCCTCCACAGATTCCTAGTTTTCCTTCCCTACATTCCGAGTTTCCCTCCCCAGCTAGACCTAAATATTTCCCTCTCCCAAATCTAGTTCGACTCCAACCTTCACTAAAATTCATTTCCCTTTACTCTCTTCTCTCTCCTATCCTTTCCCTTTTTCCTTCTCCCTATTCATGCCATCACTGTCCGATCAAAGGGGCCAGCCGATGTTCTCTTTATGGGACAGTTCTCCAATAGCGCAAATCTGACATTCGATCAAAAAAAATTTGGTTAACCTTGATGACTTTTCGACTTGATCCAGCACTGGGGACCTTGGATCCATGTTTCAGACTCCGATCGGCCCTTTAGTGGAGCCGACTAGTGTGTGCCTGCAAGACAGATCTGATGTTGGATCGAGCTCAAACATCATCGAAATGGTGTTCTGTTTTCTACTTATTCGTAATGCTAACCGCATTTCACAGCCACGATCGATGTTTTTAGGTTTCTACTGCACGCAGTGGCCCATAGTGCCAATCGGACACCTACAGATCCATCTTCTGTCAAACCCTAGCTTGCTGGAGGTGTTTTTGGAGTGTCAAACACCAACATAAAGGGTAACTCACTAATCCTTATATTTTCATTTGTACTTTCAAGATTCTATTTATCGCTTCTCTCTATCATGGAAAAAATCTTAATAGAAACTACAATTATTAAAGCATATGTCTTGCACCATTTGTATAAGAAAAAATTGCAATAAAACAAGGCTAACTGCAGATGAATTACTTTCCATAATTTAGCATAAAAGCTTTTTGTATCTCTTTGTTGGGTGTTCAGTTATTTTGGCATGCTTCAATCTTCTTAAATTCCTCTGTAAAACTCTTGTATTCCAGACTATATTGCAAAGGATATATATCAAAGATCCTTTCTCTTTTGTGGATTTTCCTTGTATTCCTTTAAATTCTGTTTACTGGTATAATTTGATGACGAGTTGCATGTGATGTGGTAATAGATCCTGGTGCCACCAGAGACGGTTCTGGATGTTTGCTATCACTTTGTCACCTAAATCAGGTGACATAGTAAAAGATCAATTAGTACTGTGGCTTAGTTGGTTTTCTGTTCTCATATCTGTTGGTTTTATGGTTGAGATTATTATTTATTGGCTGGATTGTGGAAAAACTAGACAGAAAAGCACCTAAGTTATTTCAATAAAACACTACCATAAAAAACTGAAATAGTCTCATTTTATGTTTTAAAAATGAGGATGTTTTAGTTTTTTTCAATGGAAATTAATTAAAATGATTTAGTTTAAAGATATTTTTTCATCTAATTTTTTATAGATACTGTTGATAAATATATATATATATATATTTTGGTTACGTGACTATTAATTTGTTAGTCATTTGAAAAGATGTGGCAGCAGAATACTAATATGATATCAATGGAATTTGGTTTTCTGTTAAATACCTTATTACTTCAATGCAAGATTAATACACTGAGAAGTGAAAATTTTGGTCTTTCAGCCTTCAATTATTCAATAGGAACTACGTTGTGCTATCTCTCTAGTAATGGGCTGCTTCAGGAGCTTCATTGGTTTAAGAAATCTTATGGCTCATGGTTTTTGGGAGACCATGTTTGTGAAGGTAGCTGTTAACTTACAGGAGTAAAAAATAAAAATAAAGAAATAAAATAAAATCTGAGAGAATTGTAAACTTTCGAAGCCTCAAAAAATTATTGAAAGTACTAAGATTTATGTTTCATGCCATACATTTTACCTGATTACTTGCTTAATCTTCCTTTTGTAGTTGATGGGACCAGCTAAAATATTTAGGTTATCCCATAAAACACTCTGGCCAACATAAGACAGTTAATACTGGTTTGCTTGTTCTATTTTTGTATCCAGATGGCTGCTTATATACTGCTACTCCAGTTGATCCAGTTTTCATATTGCTGCCTATTTTTTAAGAAGCAATAATGAAGGTACAGTTGCTATTATTAATACATTCATCAGTCTACATCTTCATTTATTTACGCAAGTTTAAGCTTTTCCATTGCTTAGTGCTTGGGAAAATCTTAGGACCTGGCACCATAGGTATGAAGTGCATCTCATCTTTGACTTACTCTAAGTTTTTCACTTTTCTCCTTCAGTTCTTCGAATACTTATATTTGGTTTTCTTGGTCATGCTGATGGAATATTGGAATAAATTCAGAATGGGGATGATCCTAGAAAGTTCAGGGCATTAGATGAGATGCAAGATTCGTCAGTGACTATCCTGGATATCAACATTTAATGTCCTTTGTTGAGAACTGCATGCATGTTGTTTGTGAAATTAAAGGTTTCCCACTATCTGTATTAATGTTCTTATGTATATGTCTATATGAAAGTGACAATTATGCTAAATATTGTTGTC